CTTGGCTGGCAGCCCTTGGGTGACAGCAGAGCACATGTAACTTAGTGGAGCCCAGGACTTGGGCTGCCTCTTGAGAGTCTCTTTCCATCTCTGTTAAGTCAGTGTTGTTTTTCAGGAATGGCAGCAGCACCTGCCTCTCAGGGTTGCAGGTGAAGACTCAATCGCTGGGAGTTTAGAATAGTGTGGAATGAAGTAGATATGGGGGAGTGTCAGCGCTAGCAGGGGGTTGAAAGGGCTGGGTCCTGCTCCTTTGCTCTGTCAACTCCTTGGAATAGGCCTTGAAAATTGCTGGGGTGAATTTCTACATGTTTCCTGAACTCAAAGAGTTAAAGTAGGGTTAGCTGTCAATGCCCAAAGTGCTATTTCTTCTCAGACAGCAGAGTTCAACAACCCCAGGAGGACCCAGGGCATCAGGACAATCCAGTCAGGCCTACTCTGCCCAGCGAGGCCAGCTCAATGCCCTGGGGGTGCAGCAGGACACCTGTGCAAACCTACCCCCAGATACAGACATCCCCACTGGCCCAGGTGAAGGTCTTAGGGAGGAAGGAGCTTGCCTGAGGAAGAAAAAAAAACCACCCTAAGAGAACGTAACGTGTCACCCTTTCCTGCTACACGAGGCAGCCTGGAAGGGAATTCCATCTGTGATTCTGTCATAAAGGAGTCAATTCAAATACTTAATACATGTTAAACAGGCAATGGACCTTTCTTAGAGCTGGTTTTACTCTGCAACCGCAATTCTTCTTACACCTATTAAAGTAGATATGGCATTTGGTGGGTTGAGTGGCTGTTCAGAGCCCAATAAATATATACAGAAATGAAACTTTAAAAAATTCTAAGGCCCAGGTACAGTGGTGCACCCCTGTAATCCCAGTACTCAGAAAAACTGAAAGTTTCAGTCCAGTCTGGACTACATAGTGAGACTCTGTTCAAAAAAATTTGAAGAAAATTAGTAATAATTCTTTTATTCTTCGTACTGTGAATAGACAAAAGATACTTTGCATGACATGTTATGCAAACGAGGCAAAAATTAGTCCTTTCTAGGATGGTTCAAGGTCACTTTGCCATTTGTCATGTTAAAGCCTACCATTTCTAGCAGGAATTCCAGCAGCGTTTACAGACTTGGCATCCATCCATCATGACCGGAGTGCCATGCTGCAGAGGACCTGTTCAGAGAACCCTAATGAGTGAGATTTTATCTCAGTGTTGCTGTGACCCCAAATTAACAAGACGATTCTAGAGGCAGCTTTTAGCTCCATTCATCAAGGTTAGCTGGGATATTAGGCAGACCAGTATGCTCTGGGGAGTAACTAGTATCTTATTAAGTTATAAATACATTTAATGACTTTAGGACTAGTTTCTTAGTGTGGGATATGAGGAAGAAAAAAAAATAGAACTCATAATCATTCAAGTCTAAGTAAAAAGCCGCTATTTTTTATAACATGTATTTACCTACATTATTGCTTATGAATTATCTTTTTTTATAGAGCCCACGTGCTCCCTTAAAGGACAACTGTAATTTTCCTGTAATTGTGTTAAGCTACCCACAAGGTTCAACTGGCTTATCTGCTTGGTAGAAATTAAAAGTGGTACAAGATTTTTAAATCAAATCATTTGGTTATATTCAAGCTAGTCAAACCAGCTCAGAGAAAAACCAAAAGCCTTCCCTCCCCAGCCCCACCAGCCTTTGTGGTTTCTCCTTTAAGGGAAACAAATGCCCATCTGCATTCACTGGATTTTCAACTTTTTTTTTTTGTGGTGCTGGAATGGAACCCAGAGCTTCACATGCTAGGTAAGTGCTGTACCACTGAGCCACACCCCCAGCATTTTGTTAAGAACATATCTAAAAGGAGGGTAGAGCTCTTATCCTTCCCTTATCTGCACTGAGAAAGAACATATTTAAAATCACTCACCAAATAATAACGTCCTGTTACAGCAGTTGAGCTTACCTCATTTCCAGTTGCTGACCTGCTCCTGGGGGCCTATGGGGCAAATCCTGGTGCCCTCCAGAAGCCCAGGGCTGTGGACTGTCTTGAGGAATGCTTCTGTGACTTGGAGGGAAGCTGTCCCTGAGCTGACTATGAGGAAATCTAAATAAGCTACACAGGTGCTAAGAGCTCCATCTGGGCAACACCCTCCCATCCCACCTCCTTCTGTTCCCAAATGTGCAGCTCCATCTCGCTCCATCTCCTTGCCCCTCACGTGCTACTCCTCCCTATCCCCTCAGGCCTCCTCATGGAGATATGTGCTATGGGACTCCTGCTGGTCACTAGGGCCTGGGGGTGAGCAAGGGGGTCAGAGGTCACCATGCTGCAGGGGCAGCTGCTGCTTGCCTTTGGTAAGGAGGGACGGGCCTCACCTGAAGCAAAGGCTAGGCCCAGTCCTTGGGGCCACTTCTGGAGAAGGGATAAGCACGAGGAGATTTGGAGCTGATTTTGAAATCAGCAACAGGGAGGGGCCGGCCTCACAACAAACAGTGGCAACAGAAGGCTTGTGTGGGAAGATGGTTAAGTTTGGTCTAAAACAAGCAGTGTCTGTGGTAATGAGCTGTTGTTAGGAAATACGCGGGGTCCTTGGTGCTCACAGCGTCTGAAAAGTACACTGCTGCTGTCGTCAAGGAGTTGGGGTGGGGTGGAGGAAGGCAAAGTGAAGTGAGGTCAAGACCTGACTGATGAGCATGGGGACATTAGACAGCAATGGAAAAAACTGCCAACGTGTGTGGCAGTCCAGCTCTTGAATGCTGGCTCCACTTTGCAGCACTGTGCAACCTTTGGTAAATACCCAGCCTTCTCCAAATCACAGCTGACATGTGAAATAAGGACACCTAAGGTTGCAGCAGAGGTCCTGGCAGGATAGTCACAAGGACAGTGATGCACTGGAGGGTACAAGTCAGGACCAGCCCTGAGCTTGAAGGGACAAAGGGAGGGTGTGGTTACTAAACCTAAGAAGTCAGCTGACCAGAGTTGCGGTCCCTGGCAGAGATGGGCCATTGCCAACCCACACCTGGCAGAAGGGGGGTCAGAGAATGAATTCCTAGCTTCTCTCACCAAGCTTCACTCAGTGCCTCTGTGAGCCTCCCACGGGGGTTACAGTGAGCTAATCATCATAAATGCTGGCACACTCACCACTTGCTGCAGTGGGATCAGACCATTTGGCATTTACTTATTGAAAGGCTACAATACAACTTTATTCTTAGGGTGCAAAAGCCAGAAAGAAAACAAGACGTGGTCATCTACCCAGAGTGAAAAACAAAACTTTTACAAAATTGACAGATAACATTTATTAAAACATGTCATACAAAAGGGCATGGTCTCTTCTATAAGAAGAAAATATTCAACAGTAACATTCAATTAAGTAAAACCATGCTGTACACTGAAGACAGCAATTATAAAGACAAAACTATTCAACTTTTGCAATACAGGCATAACAGTTCACAAAAATCTCAATTAAGATATGCACCTAATGATAATCTGTTTATCATCAAATGTTTCTGTGGCTTAAGAGTCACCTGACTTGCATAAATAAAGTAGTTTTCTGGAAGAAACATTGGGAACCTCATAAAAGAAAAGGCAGCAGCAGCAACTGACATGGTACAGGCTTCAAGCAAACTTAGGGAAAAAAAGGGGTCACATTTGTAAATGTGTTCCAGCATCTTCCCATAGGACACTATCAGTAGAGATTCAAAATAAGAAACGTGTACCTTTTTAAATACGTAAGTAGCAAAGAAAAAAGCCCAAACAACCCTGGTTTCACTGGATAAAGTTAGTCACCATGAAAGCAACCTAAACACAAAAATTAGTGGCACAGAAAGGTGTTGGGGTAACGCATCCCTCGGTTTCCAGCATTTCTAAAGGTCTGGAGAGCCCGGAGAGCAAGCACCTGGGTCTGTGCTGGAGGTGCCCTCTTTACCCCTACCTCTGCAAGAAAAGCACACCTCAACCTCCCTTCCATACCAGCTCAGGGTGTGCCACCCTCTGTAGGAAGGGGTTCACAGAGAAAGGGTCAATGGAGGGGACCCTTTGGGCAGGCTTTTTTCTTTGTTTTTTTTTGGGGGGGGGAGGGTCCTGGGGTTTGGACTCAGGGTTTCAAACTTGCTATGCAGGCACTCTCCCCCTTGAGTCCTTTTTCCTCTTATTTTTGAGAAAGGGGTTTGCTTTGTGCCCAGGCCAGCCTAGACCACGATCCTCCTATTTCCTAGTTTACAGGCTTCCCGTTGCCATAGCTGCCATGACATGGGCACACCACCAGATCCAGTTTTCTGCTGAGATGGGTGTCTCAGCAGGCTATCCCAGAACCACGTTCCTCCCAAACTCAGCCTCCCATGTAGTTGGGATGACAGACGCGTGCCACTGTGCCCAGCTATCGGTTGAAATGGGGTCTTACAAAATTTTTGCCTAGGCTGGCTTGGAACCATGATAGGATTACAGGTGTGAGGCACCCACACCTGGCTTCTTTTGGGCGAACTTTTAAACAGTGGTCAAAAGGGGTTGGAGAGGTCCAGAAACTGGAATCAACAGTCCCGGCCTCAGGAGAGCCTGGAAGCAACCCCTAGCACATGAGGAATGGTCACCATTTTGCTTCCTTAGTTCAATCAAGTGGATTACTGTGAGGTGTGCATCTAAAAGTACAGAGAATACCAAATGCCATTGGTGGTGGCTTGAAGCCCTTTCCTACTCAGACTGGAGGAAAACCACAGTTAAAATTCAAAGTAGGGGACAAAAGCCTTGGTTGTAAGCCATGAAAATAATCCCTGAAACACTGCTTGGAAATACTATCCACAGCTATGCAAACATTTGGAAGGGCAAGGATTTCCTGAAGCTGTGCTGAGGCTAAGAGGATAGACTATCACTCCAATAAGAGGTGGGCAATTTGATCTCCTAATCCTAAAAAGCAGTTTATAAGCATGCTTTTTTTTTTTTGGTGGTACTGGGACTTGAACTCAGGGCCTACATCTTGAGCCACTCTACCAGCTCTTTTGTGATGGGTTTTTTCCGATAGGGTCTCAAGAGCTATTTGCCTGGGCTGGCTTCGAACTGCAATCCTCCTGATCTCTGCCTCCTGAGTAGCTAGGATTATAGGTGTGAGCCACTGGTGCCCAGCAAGTATTCATCTTTTCTTTGCCCAGATTAAGGCTCTCCCTTTTCCTGCCTCCAGAACACGACCAACACCTCAGATAACAACTACCTCACAAAATCTGGCTGACCCAATGAACACGTCCAGTTCTTACCAAAACCTCAACCATTACAAAACACAGCAGATGTGAAGAATTTATTTAAGTTCTACATTGTGCAGCTGATGTGCATAAAAGGAATTCAGGGAAATACTCCTTTCTTAAAACACATTAAGTCCCAACACAACTGTTTCCAAACTGCCACCAAGTGGCTGGCCACACTCCTGCGTGAACAAAAGGTCTTTGTCACCACTCAGGACAAGAGTGCTAATTCAGCATAACTGAAGGACCATGGTTTTCCCAGAATATTTTAATTTTACCTCTCAGACTTTTCTTCCCAAATGTCCCAGTGCTTACTTTAATACAACCTTTAATGGGAAACAACACACGGAACCTTCTCAGGAAATGTTTTTGTTAATACCATGGGAGTGGGGATCAGCTTTTGGCAGAATGGAGTGGCTTCACTGCCTTAGTATGGAAAATAGTAGGAGCAATAAAATAATTTCTCCTCACACGTAGTGGCTAGGATTATAACTATAGGCTTCTAACATGAGAAAAAGAGGAGGAGCAACTGAGCTGAGTGCATAGTTACCTCTATACACTTCTGTCAGGTACACAGAGACAGGACTGTGAACTGGGAAAGAGTCAACATTAAGAGAAAATGATATTAATGAGGCAAACAACCAAGAGGTAATATCTAGTTTCTAGGTTTAGAAAAAAACAATATATATATATAGCTATATTTATAATAAAGTTTTAAATACAAAGTGCTTTTAATATACCGAGACTGATACAGTGTTAGTGAGTATATCCCTGTTTTGTAATCTTGATTACAAGAGCTAACTGGTATTTTCTCTCCCCTTTCCAGACAATTTCGACAAGGAAACCCTTGGTGTTAGGAGCTTGAGGATCAGAGGCCATTGCCAGCAATGTCTATCAAATTAGAGCAAAGACAAACTTTTAAAAGAAAAATTCACCCCAAATCCAGGGAAAATTATTGTAAGGGGGAAAAGTTTCTACTTAGAAATAATGGAACAGTAGGTTTATAGAAAGATGACATAATAGTAGCACCCTGTCCTACCCTGGTAATAACCTTAGGCATGTTACACAGCTTAAAAGCATTCTGACTCTAAAACATCTGACTGGCAGAAAAGGCCTCAGAAAAACTGCTCTTCTTGTTTTTTGCTAGGTATAGCTATGCACAGACTTGTAAATTTCTGCAGCTTTATCTATAACCAAGGAGCATGAATCTGTAGACTACTTCAACACACCCTAGCACTCGTAAAGATCTGGCAGTATTTGTTCAGTGTATTCCTCTAAAAGAGCATCTCCCACCAGTGTATTTGCAAGACTCTTCTTTTCTTGGGGCAATTTTTTCCCCCTTCAAGTATGACCTGCCACTTGAGATTCTATCTTCCTCCAATTTACATGCTGACAGTGGGAGTGCCACTGTAGCACTCAGTTCACAGGTAACTCTCAGCCATAATTTCTGGCTGTCCCATAACTATGGTCACTGGCTGTCCTTGTTGGGAAGCACCATGATCTAAAAGCAAAAAACAACAGGTAGGGTGCTCCTTGGTTCTGTGTCAGAGTTACAGCAGGCCAGAGGGCTCTTAGCCAGAATAGATCCCATAGTGTAAATGCTGTAATTAGACAGGATCTGGGGCAGCAAACCGACTAGAAACAAATTATCTCTGGCACCCAAGAGAATTACAATTAAATACAACAGTTCAAACTTACACTTAGTACTAAAATACAAAACTGTGCCTTATCAAGAGTTTGAAACATTGTGACAGTGGCATCTTAAAAAAAACTAAAGCTTGTAGCATAGGTTGTTTCAGACTTAGAATGTCATCCTCTTAGCATCTCCATAGTTTTAGCTAAAATACCCTTTAGCAAGAATAAAACCAGACAAGAAAGCTCTGTTAATCCATTTCTCATCCCATGATCATAAGTAGCATTGATTTAGTGAAACAGCTACCAAAACAAATCCACATTACCTAAGGACATATAATGAGAGCAAAATAAAACTTCAATGTGATCTTGTAATAATGAGTGATGGAAAACTGCTGCCACCTGAAATGGAACTGGTAGGCTAGAGTCCAATTCCAAATGCAGATGTCTCTATCACAAATTCCACCTGCCTCAATCACAACTGGCTTGAAGGTTTCCCTTGCCAGCTGGGCAGTGAGTGAACTTATCCCCATCACCCATGCCAGGCCAGGACTGGAATTCACAAATCTGAGGAATTAGATTTTTTAATTGGCCTACTTAGAGCTGGTCTTTCAGAAATATCTTCCTCTTTTTTTTTTTTAAGCTTCTCTCATAATAGCAAGTGGCACGCATCATCTGTGCCCAGATTTGCATTAATTACCATAGTTTATTTTTGTGCATGCCACTCAAGGGCCAGACCCTATTTTTAGTTAGCCTCAGTTGTATTTTGCTCAGCCTTTGCAGCTTCATAGGACTTGGTGCAAGAGGTCACATGCCTGTGGAAACTGTCCCTCCACATAAATCTCTTTGCACAGATATTACACTCATACGGCTTTATGCCTGTATGAATTTTCATGTGGCCCACGAGATGGTGCTTCATTTTGAATTTCTTACCACAGACACCGCAGCCATAAGGCCGAAGGCCAAGATGCATGCTCATGTGTCGGTCTCTCTGACTCTTGTGAGTGAAACTTTTCCCACACTGACAAGGATACAGCTTGTCTGTGGCTGAGAATCCTAAATGGGAAGCTTCTTCTTTAATCCCTGTCACCATTTCAATATTCTCACTGTAGCCTGCTGCAAGGGCAGCCTCCTGTCTGTGCCCAATTAGATTACCATCTGACCTCTCTCCAGAAAACTCTTCCATGGAAGAGCCATAGAAATCCACCTGCTCATCGTAATTGCTCTCATCAGCTTGTTCATCAAACTCAGCTTCCACTTTCTTTTCCCCAATGTGAAAGTCTTCTTCCACTCCTGAAGGCTGGACTGAGTGCTCTGTCTGCATGGTATTGATGGACTCAGTGACCTGGTGCTCATCGTAAGCTGCATGCACATCCATGCCCTCACAAGCCTGTTCCAAGCGCTCAGGCTTCACGTGGATCCAGCGTTTGTGAGCCATTATGCTGGGCTTGCTGTACATGGGCCGGGTGTAATGGAACTCAGCACTGTCACTGGCCCCCTCCTCCCCATCCTGGCTTGCCATTTCGGTGCTCAGCCGGTCATGCTCTGTGGATGAGTTGCTGGGCAGGTATTCGTGCTCAGTGATCTGAGATGACAGCTCATCTTTGGTGCTCTCTTCTTCATTCTCACCATCTCTCAGTTCTTGGGTTTTGGGGAAATCACTGTGGCTCCCAGAGCCTAGTTCAAAGCTCTCTACCAGGCCATTGTAACTACTGCTGCTGGGAGACTGGTGATCACTCCCATGATTTAGCTTCTGACAAAGGACTGTAGGGTTTCCCTCTAAAACTTCAGTGCATTTGTCTACCACATGCCACATCTGGAGGAAGCTTGCTGCTGTTAAGTAACTAACAATTTCTGGAGCAGGCATGACTAGGCGTCCTGTGTAACTAGATAGGAGAATGTTCTCAAACACTCTTGGGTTCATCACATCAGGCAAAACAATTCTCCTACTGTTTTTCAGGAGCACTTGGTCACAAAAGTAGGGTGAACTGGCAGCAAGAACAGCTTTGTGTGCCCGGAAAATGTGGCCTTGGACAACAATGGAGACATCACACAATTGTCCTTGCTGGCGCTGCTGGTTCAGTTTTTGCAGAATGGTGCTGGAAAAATCAGGAAATTCTACTCGAAAAGAGTTTGTTCCAGGCTCCATTTCATCACAAATCTTGTTTAGTACTACAAGAGAAAAATAAGTTATTAAATTCCAGCCTAAAAAGAAACTTAATTTATCCCCTTCTCCATCACTAAGAAAACAAAAAGCTCCAAAGTTCCACAAAGTCCCCTTGCCTATGACACTAGTGGATAGAGGATTTATCCCCTGAGCAAAGCTTGCAGGTATGACAGCACTGAAACACCAGTTACCCAGCATCCTGTACAGAATTAGCTCTTGATTTTGCCTCTGTGTCTGTGAGTGAAACAACAGAATCCATAGTGATCACATCTGTAAGCTATACAAATCCCCTAAAGAAAACAAAGCAAATATTTCTAATCAAAACAAACATGATTCCTATCAAAACAACTGAACTTTAAACTTCAGATTCAACTGAATCTGAAGGAGAGAGAGAGAGAGAACAGAATTGTGGGAAGGGGGGTGTATCTCAGTGGTAGAGTGCATGCTTAGCATGTGTGAGGACCAGGGCTCCTGCTCCCCCCACCAAAAAAAAAACAATTGTGAGAAGAAACTCATGCAAAGGCTCCAGGCAGGAATGAATCTGACCACTGCAAGGAACAAAAGAACAAAAGGAGACTACTTGGTTAGAATCCAGGGAGGGACAGGAGGCTGGTGGGGTGGAGCTATGGGACAAGGACAATTTTGCCTCTGGTCTTTCAGCACTAAAGGGGCACACTCTTTCAGGCCCTGAACACCGCAGGATTCTCTATGGCTGTGGGAATTTTAACTCCTTAAGAACTGATCCTGTGAAGCAGAAAAGAACAACAAAGTGAGCTACTGATGTCTCCAAACTGTTTAAAGAGTTACAGACCAACTAGGACTGTAAATATTGTACCTGGTACTGAATGGACTACAAGATAAAGCTATAACAAAGAATAAGGGATTATCTGTGTTGCTACTGTATTTGTCCTGTGTTAGAGACAAGTCCCAACAATGCTCAAGATGAACTCTACCAGAGACCCTGCCCATGCCCAATAATTCTGTAGTAAAATGGACAAAAAGAAGTATCACTACTATTTGTCACTGTGCCCTAATACTATAAGCAAACACTGCTAAACACCAAGGTTTCCAAGTATGAGATAAAGAATGAGACAACGCAAAGCTTGAGCGTCATCCTTGAGGGACAGGGAGATGTGAGAAGAGAAGAAACTAATATGCCTTGAGTAATTATTACATGCCAGGTACTATACATCTATTCCACTTACTCTTATAAATTACTCTGCAAATGTAGGACTTGATAGTCTTAAGTTTAGCCATTTTAAGTAACTTTCCCAAGGTAAAGAGCTAGTTTATATTAGGTTGAGATAGGAATCTAGGTCAGTATAACTCCAAAGTATTTTTCCTGTCATATCACTCCACCTCCCCTAAGAAAATGCCAGATTACTCATTCATAATTTTAAAAGACAAGTGTTTTTTAAAACAAAGTATTAATTTGTGATTTTATAAATCTTAAAACATTTCATAATAACCTGAAACAAAAGTAGTCTATGAAAGAAACTATTTAGGTATTTGCAGTTTCAAAAGGAAAAGTTGACTATATAAATATATAGATTGGAGGTTTGTACGTAAATTCTGAAAACTACATCTGGATGAACAGACTCTGTGCTAGTTCTCACACTAAAATTCTGATTTAACTATTTATCATGCACACACATGTAAAAAAAAATTATAGAAAGGTGTAAAAAATTTTTCCATCATTTACTCCTAGTCTCTCCCAAAGAAAGTTACCATTAACAAACTCCTGACTGTATTTCTAGAAACTTTTCTGGGCATATATCAGAATAAATCATATATACCTCCCCACCCAAATTGGTTCGTAACCTGCTTTTTTTAGTCTACTTAGCTTTTATCATTTAGTGTATCTTGGAGATCTTCCCACATTAGCCCTGAAAGAGCTACTACTCGTTCTGTTTAATGGCCACATAGCTTCCTGATACACGGATGTATACTAATTTAAGCAGTTCTCCACTAACTGAATTTCAGTTGTCTGCGTTTTTGAAATTATAAGCAATGTTACAATGGATATCACTATGTAACTAATCTTGGCACACCTATGAAAATATCTACAGGGTAATTTTTCTATTTTGGGGGGTATGGGGGCAATACTGGGACCTGAACTCAGGACCCTGAATGCTACCACTTTAGTCAGCCCCCCTAATCCACCTCCAGGGTAATTTCTACTAACGGGATTGTTGAGTTAAAGAGCTTTGAAGTTGACACTGTGATACATATTATCAAACTACTTTCCAGGAAGTTTGTTGTACCAAATCACACCCTCACAAACAGTAAATGAGTGTCTACTTCCTACATCCTCTTGATGCTATTAAATCAGAAATTTTTATTTGAAATTTTCTAAGTGAATAACCCAAGATTCATTTGCTATTTTGATCTGCATTTCCTTAATTATGAATGAGATTCATTCTGTATTTAAATTTACTATGGGCAGTTAATATCGGATTTTTATAAATTCAGAAAATTAACTTTGTCTTGTATTACCATTTTTTTTCAGTTGGCTGACATTATAGAATTTTTTGCCACAGTGAAATTTATGTAAAATAACTACTCTTCTTTGCTTTTATGGCTCCAGGGTTTTGTGTCAAACAAAGAAACTCCAAAATTTTTTCTAAATATAAAAACAAAAGAGAATTACTTAGGATTTTTCCCAGTACCATTCTTTTTTTTTTTTAAAGTTTTAAACCTTTAAACATGAAGTTTATTCTGTTATATAGACTAAAGTTGGAACTCAACTCTTTTCCCTCTGAAATAGCTAGTCTATTTTCCTAATAATTTATTGAATAACCCATATTTTCCTCATAAAGTTCAAAAATTCTATTGAATTTTTATTTACTTTTTTTGGTTTATTTCTTTTCCTGCTATTTTTTTGAGGTTTGAACTCAGGGCTTCACATTTGCAGAACAGGTGCTTTACCATTTGAGCCATGCTTCTAGTCTCCTGTTGTGGAATTCTAAAGGACTAAGAATAATAAGATATTTAAAAAGCGTTCCACTGAAACAAATGCCATACACGAGGTTATGGCAGATGGTGGAGTAGGAAACTTCAGGGGCCTACCCCTGTACATAATCAGCAAGAAGCTTGAAAAATGACCAGAATCACATTATGTCTGGAAGCTGATCAGACACAGCCATGAAGAGAATGCTGGAAGGTCTCCTGAACCTCAGAAGAAGCAGGGTGTCAAACCCAGAATTCTCTCAGCCCTGGCATAGCTGGTGGGAAGGTGACCTGCATTCCTAGAGCAGCTGGCAGATGCCAGAACTGACATCTTGTCCTCCAAACATTCCAAACTGTGTGTGCTTTGGCCGGTTCGGCAGATGTGAGGCATCAGTGTGAAAACTTAAGAGCCAGGTGCAGAGGAGCTAGCCAGGTGAGATCCTGCCTCAAAACAACAAAAGGACTTAAGCACAAGCATGTGTGTGCATTGAAAGAAATTTTTGTCAAGTCACAGGCTGACATAAGTAAGAGTATAGAAACTTAGTGAGTACATGCAACAAGGATATAGATTTTGCAATTTGGGAAAGTTCCTACACAAATGAACAATTGTAGACTAAATAAGTAACAACAACAAAACCCTAAGGAAAAGGAGAATCTGATTGAGTTCCCACAAAACAATACTCAAAACGTCTAGTCCTCAACAAAAAATGATAAAGCATACATATAAAAAGGCACATTTACAGTGCAGAGAGTCAAATAGAAACTGTCCCTGAGGAAACTCAAGACACTGGAATTAGCTATGGCTTGAATGTGTTCCCCAAAAGTTTATGCGTTGGAAACTTAGTATTCCAATTCGTATGATAGTGGTGTTTGGAGGTGGGGCCTCTGAGAGGCAACTACTATTAGATGAGGTCGTGAAAGTGGAGCCCCAGGTTGTAAAGGGGGCATTAATGCTTCCTAACAAGCTGGCATGTTTGCTGTCTGTCTTGCCATGTGGTGTCCTATACTATGTTATAATGTAGCAAGAAGGTCCTAGTCAGATGCTGAGCAGATGCCAACAACATGTTCTTGGACTTTTCAGCCTACAGAGCCACGAGCCAAATAAACTATTTGTTATAAATTACCTGGACTCAGGCACTTTGTTATAGCAACAGAGAACAGATGAAGAATTACTACTCACAAATATTAAATATGCCCAAAAAACAAAAGACAACTGCCAGGTGCCAGTGGCTCATGCCTGTAATTCTAGCTACTTGGAAGGCTGACGTCTGAAGGATTGAGTTTTGAGGCCAACCCAGACAAATAGTTCACAAGAACCCATCTCCAAAATAACCAGCACAAAATGGATTGGGGGTGTGGCTCAAACAGGAAATAGAGTGCCTGCTTTGCAAACAAAGCCCTAAATTCAAACCCCAGTCCCACAAAAAACAAAAAAACCTATGGAAAAGAACTATAAGAAATCAGAGCAATAGCAATAAGGAAACGGAAACTATAAAAGGAGCCAAACAGAAATTCTGGAACTGAAAAGAATTAACTGTTATGGGCTGGTGTGTATCGTCATTTCCAAAGGATTTTGGGCTTAAAATGATGAAAAAAACCCTGTCTTTTAAGAATTCTATACCCCGCAAAATTTTATTACCATCAGGAATGAAGGAAAAATTATGGCATTCCCAGATAAACAAAAGCTAAGGACATTCATTACATCAATCACTCATACGGAAAATGCTAAAGGGGCCAAGATAAAAGAATGTTAGGCTGAAATTCAAAGCCTTATGAAAATAATACTGATAAAGGCAAGTATCTACACATTAGGTAATGTAAGAGCCACAATTACTGTACTTTTAATTTATAATCTCTTTTTTCCCCTATGAGTCAAAAGGAACATATATAGACCAATAAATCTATGCTAACAGGCACACAATATGCGCAAATGCAATCTGTGACAGTAACAATGTGAAGACCGAAGATAGGAAATGTATTATTCAAGTTAGGTTGTCATAAGTTTAAAATGTTCATTGTAAATTCCAGAGTAACTACTAATAACTAAAAATACACA